ACTTGCTTTCTGGTACGCACTTGATACAAATACATTGAAAACATGGATTTCATTGCCAACTTCAAAAGCCTATTACAGTAAATAAAACGTGGTATGAAAAAATTTAAAAACAAACAAGAGATAATTGAACAGTCATATTTCACATCGGTTTTGTAGAATTTAGCTTTGCTATGTAATTTCTGAACACAATTAGATTTTAAATGGCTAAGAGGTCAACAAGTGGGCCCTGTTGTGGAGCAATGGTACTCTCCCTACCCCTGGACCACAAGGCCTGTGTTCAAGTCCCACCTGCTCCAGAGGTGTGTAATAACATCTCTCAACAGGTTAATTAGAAAAATAGGTTAACTTATATTAAAAAAAAGTCAACATTTTTAGAAGAATTCATTAATGGGATGAAGGTGTCACTGGCTAGGCAGCATTTATTGCCCATCCCTAATTGCACAGAAGACAGTTAACAGCCAACAATATTGCTGTGGGTCTGGATTCACATGCAGGCCAGACCAGGTAAGGATGGTAGTTTCCTTCCCTAAAAGACAACAGTGAACTGGATGGGTAATTCCAACAATGCATTTATGGTCATCATTAGATCCTTAATTCCAGATATTTATTGAATTCATGTTTCACCATCTGCTATTGCAGGATTCAAACCTGGGTCCCGAGAATGTTTTCTGGGTCTCTGGATTAACAGTCCAGCAATAATACCACTAGGCCATCACCTCCCTTTGTTAATTGTAGAGCGTCTATAACAGTATCATTAACATTTAAAAAAGTAGAGGCTTTTACCATCCTTAACTTTCAGAAGGCTGATTTTAAAAAAGTTTGAAACAATTTTAATAACTACTTCAACATTTGGCATCAAAACTGGATTAATACTTGCAACGAAGTGACAGAATCAACTGTTAGACTTACCCTACACTGATAGTTGATTGATTAATTGGATGGAGATTTAAAATAGGTTCAAGGATCCATGCAACATTTGGTTGCTGTATGACAATATGGCTGCAACTAGAGTTCTTGCAGGGATATTAACTGAGTTTAAGGAAAGGATTTTAACTAGTTTAGCAGGGGAGGGCCACCAGGATGAAGCATTGTTGAGGTGATATCTGACACCCAGTGAAATGGAAGACAAGCAGCATTAGAAATAGTACTGTTGATTAAAGAAACATGTCAAAGCCTTTCTTCTTGCACACATCAAGATACATAAAAGAATATCATAGAATCCCTACAGTGTAGGAGCAGGTCATTTGGCCCATTGAGTCCACGCTGACCCTCTGAAGAGCAT